CTCGCGGATTTCTCTACCCTGAAGATGGAGGCGGCGACAGACATTCTTCAGTGTGTAATTTTGTTGATGAGCCATCCAATAATTTCCTTATACGGACTAAGGAAAACTAAGGAAATACTCCTTTAAGGATAGCCGGTGCACATATCGAGATATGATCCTAGACTCTCCTGAATTCGGTACTATAGCATTACTGCTAGTTTAGCACTCGACTTTCGAGTCTTTCCTCATATATCTACAGCATGGTTTGTGCTGTGTACATTTCTAGGAACCGTTCTTGATGTTTAATAGTCATGTGTGTAGTGACACTTATCAAGCATGTGGATGTGGGTGCCTCATTATGAGCCTGCTTCGTGGTGCCACCTTGTCTCGCTAGACCGCAGATTAATTTCTTCTGTAACTGGGTCTACACTCCAGGCGGTCAACACATACGGAGAGAAAGAAAGTATATATTTGCATGATATGGATGAGTTTGCTTGGCTCAGTCAGTGTAGTGACTAACCATTGGCTGGATTACTTGGTTTCGGTTTCCTGCAGAAACATAGAATTCTGTCTTTGTCACCACGCCCAGACGTCCCCTGAAACCCATTCAGCCTCCTACCCAACTGCGCCTGCGGGCTGTTTTCTCAGGGTCGGATTATGGATGATTGCTTACTTGCATCTAGTGCCGAATTTGAAGCTGCGTGGAGATGTATCTTCACAGGAAGTGCCATAGCTCAGGTAGCTAGTCTCTGGCTTCCTACCGTGGCGGCCCAGGTTCGATCCCATATCAGTTCATACGGAATTTGTTGTGAACAAGGTGACATTGGGACAGGTTTTCTGCTACCAATTCTCATTCCATTAATAGCGCCATATTCATCCATCACCTGTGGCTCATATAATAGGCCCACTAAGGGCCGATGTACAAAGTAGACTCAGTCTCATCCTACACTACGAATTGTCAATAAGTTCTGGAAAGAACAAATCGCCTACTTTCCTTCTGCTACATATAGAATACTTGATACGACACGGAACACATAGAAAACTGTGCGTCTAACATTTCTTTTATTGTTGCATGCGCATTTGTTGCCGCGACAGCAAGCCGTTTCCTAGCAACGGCCTTCTCTTCTAGCTCCAGTAATCAGGCTTTCAAGGCCGCGCCATAGCTCAAGCGGTTAGTCGCTGGCTTACCACCGCGGCGGCCCGGGTTCGATCCCGGGTGTGGTCAAGTGGGATTTGTGGTGGACAAAGTGGCGCTGGGGCAGATTTTCTCCGAGTACTTCGGTTTCCCTTGCCAATCTTCATTCCACCAATTGCTCCACAATCACCCTCACCTATCATCTGGGGCTGGTACAATAGGCCAGAAGTGGCCGCAGTACAAGGAACTTAGTCCCACCCCACTAGCAATAAAAAGTCAGGCTTTCAGGCTTTACGAAGGACACACAGGCAGCAAGTTGATATCATTAGCCTCCTTTCTTCAAAATAAGTAAAGTAGGCTAAAATTATATTTTCATATCCCCTGGCATCCATGTGCTAAATTATGTGCTTAGTTATGCGCGGCGGCAACTTGTCCTTGCCTTTTATGGATGAGTTAGTCAGACAGTGGCCCGATATCATCTGGTGACAGTTATGAATCGATATACATGTATGTATTAGCACTGACGGTGATGTCAAGGTCTGTATATCGAATTCTGAAACCTGCTAACCTGGCAGGCTAAATACGTCTCCCTATATTCTCTTGAGACGGACTGCGCCCCAGAACTTCAAAATAAGCCTTACAGTTTCTATGTACTCAAACACGATATGCAATTCAAAGTCACTCAAAAGTTTTTATTCGTTTGTGTAGAATTTCCTGCCTCTTTCTTTGCTATTTACATTTGTGTAGATTCTTGATGTCGTAGTGTTGCAAGTACGAATCATTTTCTTTGTCTTATCCATCTTGCACTGAACCCTTGTTGCAGAAATAAGCGTTATTATCTGTAAGTTAGAGCGACGTATAAAGTTGCTGAATAATTCTGAAAGAAGAAAGCATTTCTCTGCATGAATCTAATTAAAGTACAAAAAAAAATGCTTAAAATAAACGAGATCTGTGTAGTGTCATAAATTCTTATTTTAACCATAAATTGTGTTCCTGAAAACTTGCAAAGTTTCACTCGAGTTACACGTAGTGTAGGGGTACTTTTGACTGATTACTTACTTACGGAGCTGAGCCCATCTTGAGGAGAAGCCAATTCATCAGCTACGCAAGAATTTTCTAGCATTTTATGGAACCCGAAGGTTCATTACCATATCCGAAAATTAAAAACAAGGAAAAGTAAACGATCACAGGTGTAAAACACATTATTTTTGCTTTCGAACGCTCGAATATTGTATCGTGGTTTCGGATCCTACTCGGACATGGATGTATGTCCACGTTTTCCTGCATTTAAATTATTATATAGAGGATTCGCATTTGACCGATGTTGTGGCTAAATCTTCCCATCAAATGTCTGTGAGGGTCATAGTTCCAGTAGCACATTCTGGGCTGAAACGGGTCAGAAGTTTTGACCTGTAAGATCGAGAAGATCCTGAGTATTTTATACGATACGGGCCGTATAGAAAACACCGTGTCCAAAAGTTCTATTGCACCTATTTGTTCCCGCGGGAAAGTGTTTACCGAGCTGTTGCCTAACAACGGCAGTTTCATTTATCTCTGCTTTTATGACTTGCAAACGTTAGGGAATATACAAAGGCACAGACCGCAAAATTTTATTTGTTCGAAAAAGGAGAGTAAACAAAAAAGGGAACAAAAAAATTTGCCTGTGGTTGCTAATTATTTTGTCAGGTATACAATGTATGCTTCTTCAGGATATCTGTGGCTATGTAGCTCCGTCAACAGCAAGCCTGTACCTGCAAAATTATGACCATGAAGAGAAATGTTGTGGATGTAAAATCATACAGAGCACATTTGGAAACCCAGTGTTCTCCAAACAGGAAACAGTTTCCCACTCTACTTCCTGCAGGTCCTCCCCATGCCCTAGATTTGCTGACGTGCTACAATGAATGGTCCAGTCTCATCACAATTTCAACGTCATCAATTATCCGTAACCATTTCGCGAAAGATGAGGAACAAACAGTGTTCAGAAGTGAATAGATACAGCCTTGGGGATGACCTAAACAGGTATTTACGAATGCAGGCTTTGAGCTTACACGTTCAATTCAGTGGACAGGTGGAATAGAGTTAACCACATGACTCAATTGAGTTCATTACTCAGCCACGCTCAATGTAAAATTTGTAGATTGTAGCCTTTAGCAGTCTCCCTTTCACATCACACTTTGATGATGCATTTACAGACAGGGATCTGATGGAGGTTAAATTAAGCCAATGAGGCTACAGCAGCCAAACAGAATATTAACTAGGTTATTGACCGCATGACCAGTAACTTCGTTTGCTATAACGGAACACGAGAACCTCAGACTCCAAACTCAAACATAAACATGATTTTAGGTCATATATTCACATTCGGGTAGAGTTAAATCAATCCATTCTGATCCCATTTAAACATGTTCTTCGATAAACTCGTCTCAAACGTGAAATTGAAATTATTTACATAAAATTTTGGATAAGCTGAAAAGCGGACATGACAAAATACAATCATATTCGGGTACAGTTAAATCAATTAGTTCTTATCAAATTTAAACACGTTCTTCGATAAACTTTTCTCAAACTGCGAAATTGAAATTATTTACATAAAATGTTAAATAACCCGGAAAGCAGACATGACAAAATGTAGGAAACAAAGGAGGAATGAATGCGGCATAGAGGATTTTTTTTCTTGTGACTGAACAACGGACTCAGTCACTGACTGACTGACTCTATCGTACAGTCTTCGTTGTATAGATGATTGTTGTTCAGCCTCTCAAATTGTTCTGGAATTATGAAACGTTAAGGTGAATAAACCCTGTTGAAATATTCACGGATTTGAGCCGCAGCATCAGCCATTTTATTCCAGTATACACTTTCATACCCTATTCTACAAGAACCATTTCCATCCACGCCAAGTTCTTGCAAGTGGTCTCCTTCCGCTGCGTTCTTTAAAAATCATTTTGTACCCCCTCTCATACACACGCCCAATTCAGATTTCATTCTATTGTACTAAAATAATAATTAAAATATTTTGTGATATTTGCTAATGCCCTTCCGAGTTCATATTTATTGTAAATTGCAGTTCTAGTCCTCAGAAGCTTGATCTGACACAGCCTCACAATTATGAAGTTCTGTACTCTTACAACACTAGCGATACAGTCACGGTCTTAAAACGACTCGCCATATTATTTCTTTTCAAGAAGTTCAGTTTCTTTCTGCAGATACTTCCAATCGTTTAAAGCTTTAAATTAATCCAACACATGAACTCAGAGTTAAAATTGTGTTTTTTTTATTGCTAGTGGGGTGGGACTAAGTCCCTTGCACTGCGGCCACTTCTGGCCTATTGTACCAGCCCCAGATGATAGGTGAGGGTGATTGTGGAGCAATTGGTGGAATGAAGATTGGCAGAGGAAACCGGAAGAAAACCTGCCCCAGCGCCACTTTGTCCACCACAAATCCCAATTGACCAGACCAGAGATCGAACCCGGGTCGCTGCAGTGGGAAGCCAGCGACTAACCGCTTGAGCTATGGCGCGGCCATAAATTGTGTTACTCAGAACATCAATTTTTGGTCGTCTTTTGTATTTGAATTGTGATCGTATTTAAAAGGATAACTCACTGGGTCAGTAAGTTACAAAGCTGAGATAAGTTTAATCTCAACAGAGGCAGTTAAAAAAAACTGAGTAAAACAACGAATATTCTAGCATTTCCCAAAACTGTAGGGCAATCAAAATGATCTGCTTATCTCAGTTCGATCCAAATGTCGAGTAAAAATCCGAACATTACATATTTCAGCGACTTCGTAAACAACATCCTGGATACAGTTTTGCGTTTTTTGCTTCATATCTTGAGGTGACAGCGAAAATGCATCATAAGACATTGAGTTGTTTGTGTTTCAGGCCCGCAATAAGCCCGCAGATGGAGGTGGCCACGTCAACCAGAAGGGACAGGCTGGACAGAAGACACCAGTTGCTAGCCAGAAGGGTGGACAGACAAAGGCAGCGCAGAAACCTGCTCAGAAACCACCGACCGCTCAGAAGGGGCAGGTGAAGACCCAGCCCAAAGCGGCAGCCGTCAAGGGAGGCAAGAAGACAAAGAAAGGGCAGAGACATCAGCAGCACGACCTTATCGTGACCATCAACTTGGTGAGTAAGCGGAATTCTCAGTGGCCTCTTCCTTCCTGTTGCATTGTGTAGATCTGCCTTCAGAGTTTTTGTGCCGTCTAAGTGCAACGTCGTTCACTATGGTGGTCGACCAGCACACAAGAGAACTCCTGCTCTAGCAGGAACACTCAAGGCAGCCACAATCAGCAAACCAAACAAAACCAAAATAAACCACGTGCAACCAAAATAACCAGAAGCAACTACAATAGGAGGAAAGACAATCATATTACAGTGAGTAGTAGAATCTTTAACTTGTACATCTGAAGATGGCCAATTAGGCCGAAACGTAGTGAAATGGTGTCCAATAAATGGACAGTGAACGACGTTGCACTTGGACGGCGCAAAAGACACCTAAATCAGATCTTCTTTAGTGATTTTTTTTTTCAGGATTTCCATCCTTTCTTAATTCTCGTGTACCGCAATTCTGAGCTCTCCTTTGGTACGATTTGCTACCACCGCTTTAGAAGGTTCACACCCGTTATTTCAACGGTTTGTAATTATGTCCGGAATATTATTAACATGTATACCTTTATTCTTTCTGCCAGCACATTCACGCCTCTTTAGTCTCGATCTGTGTGTATCTGAAAATCATTTCAGTGCTTCAGCGTTTCCATCATTTCCCGCACTCCAAAAGAGTACCAAAGAACACGTCTTATTATATTGTAAAATTTTATATTTGTGTGTCGAGATTTTTAAATTTAACGGCGTCTTTCATCACAATGTTTTTCTCCGAAATATTATTGTGTAAGATTTGGGGATTTCACGGCGGTGAATATGAAGTAAACCGTCTTCTGGGATGTGGCACCGTGTAGATCTTATGTGAACTGACGTTTCGGAGGAACGTATCGCCTCCATCTTCAGAATAGAAAAATCCGCAAGCGAGGAATCATCGTGAGCAGGTAGCTGCACTCTGCAGACTGAAGCCACCTGCTCACGCTGGTTCCTCGCTTGTAGATCTTTCAATCCTGAAGATATATGCGATACGTTCCTCCGAAACGTCGGTTAACACAGGATCTACACGGAACCATGTCCCATAAGACGGCTTTCGTCATAGTCACCGCCGTGAAGACCTAAATCTTACACAATTACATTTGATTATACCAGTTCACACCTTTAACTCCTTCTGTATAACGAATCTATCGCTGCTGTCTGGATCTTGCACTAGTGTCTAGCCTTTGTAGTCTTCTCTTGAACTCTGTAACGAATGAATCCCCTAATCAAGTAATCCAGTAACTCATTCTGAGTCTGTCTGAGTCTTATGTTACGACCGACTGTAAATCGGCCAGTCTGCCTTGGAATAAAGCACCCATCTGAGGGTTATGAACATATTTGTATTACTGTCATACAGTTGTGGGTTTGTTGATGTGGGGCGCTCTCCCTGACGAGAGGACGGCTCTCTCGTTTACAAATGCTCTTGGCCATCGCTAGAAGAGTGATCCTCGGGTCCGAGTCCCGTGGGACTCGTGACCAAATTTTACTGTCTCAGATTCGATTCTTTCCTTTTCATCGTCTTCTACGACTCGCAGGGCTGGGTGGAGGTATTCGACCCGGCCTCCACACTGGCCCTCACTCATTCGTCTGGCAAACTCTCCTGTTCTAATGCTTCGTCGGACCGTGTACAAATCATCTCCTTCAACAGTAGAGTTCTTGCTTTTTTAGCCATTATTGTAATTCGAACGGTTCGTTGCCTAGGAATCGATGTGAATTTCTATGCAATGCATTTCTGCCTTAGCCGTATTCATTGGTATGGAAACGTGTTCCCACAATTCGCCGTCCAGCAGCGGTGCCCTCTATGTTGCCACGGGAAAGCGCTCAGCGAAACCCCGCCCAGCAGATGGGCAGATTGCAGCTTTCAGGCGTCATGTCACATTATTCTTTCAAGAATCATAGGTCCGGTTCTTCCCCTAGGAATTCTATTTCTGAAAGACAATTGATCTGTGCGCCTCGTAGTTGCTATCTTTTGTATACTCTGACTCTTTCTACTCCAGGCGCTTATAAACTGGATGACTTTTGTATACACAGGACTGTTCTTACGAGAGAAATTCCTCAAAGTCAATTGAAATTATAACACGTTTCAAGTCACTGAAAGCATATTCTTTTATGAACTACAAGAATAGAATGAGAAGCTCGGTTGTTCACACCATGAAGTGTAAATGTTTAATCAGTAAATCTGCTAAAATAAATAAACTTGTCCATTGGTTTCCAGAACAGATTTTCCTGCATAATATTGGCAATTATACAAACCACTCTAAAAAATAATCCTTACATTTGTCACGTTCAGGGCGGCTGGAAAAAGAACAGTGCGGAAACTCGGGGTGCAAGTAGAAAAAAGGAAAAGTACTACAGTTCGTGCCTTGTTTATATTTCCCTTCCTAAGACAAGAGAGGCAGAGGGAGTTATTTTGGGACATTGTATGTTTGACGGAAATGCAAGCCCCGAATATTTTGTTGGGTTTCAATTAGGCGTTCTTTAGTAGATGTTTACTCAGGCTCAGTGAAAATTTGAAGATTACTCTTAATTTATTTGAAGAACTAATAAAATTGAAACATCAGCAGCATCACATAAGGACTATTTAAGGAATACATATAATATGATTATGCTTAGGAGGTTATGAAGAAGTATTTCAGAGTATTTCTAAGGATCCTAGTGAAATTATAAAGGTTCTGCAAGGACTCTAACTCCTAGGAGCTGAGTCTTTAAGAAGCCAACAGTTGCTCAGCTACTCAAAAAATTCCCAACATTTTATGCAACCAGAAATTTCATTAACGTGTTCACAAGGACCCTCCACCTTTCCCTAACCTGAGGCAAATTAAACCAGTTCATATGAACCCATCCTCTTTTTTCAAGATCCGGCCTAATATTATCCTCCCACCCACGTCCAGGTCTCTATAAAGGTTTCAGGAACGTCTCTTCATCGAATATAAACAATTTTCAGTACGCTAATTTGCATAAAGACGCAAAAATGAACACCAGTGCGTATGGCGCCTCATTATTGGTTTATTATTTCGTTCTGTTAAAGTTAGGCCAGATCCATCCGCAGGAAGGTAATGAATCCAGCAAAACTCAAACAAAACAAAAAATCCATGGCTTTAGTCCTCAAGCGAACTGTAGTGACCGAGCGACTGCCGCTTGTCGGCGAAGTTAGTGCCAATTTTAGCGGAGAGAGGATATCGCGTGGTCAGCGCAACGAATTCCCACAGCCGTTAATTTCTGTTTTATAGACTGAATGAATCCAGCTGAACAAATATTTCAAAGTGACCTATCTTCGAATCACAGAGAACTATCCTAGTGCATGGACACAGGTAAATTGAAATTATTTATGTACAAAAAATACATTAGAAGTGAGCTCGCACGAAATACATTTATAGTACGTGGATCGGCTACAGCTGTGCCAGAGGAACACAGTTTAAGATAAAAGCACAATAGCAGTTGTTTTAGGACCAGTCTCTGCCACGAATTTAGCGTTTCGTACAATGTATCCTTGTTTCATCTGTTCCATAAAACTTGCAGATAGAAACATTAAGAACTTGTACGCTTCTCCAAGTATACTTAGGCCTCTCGTC